GCAGACTGGTAAGCGAGTAGGACTACGTCGTTAGCAGTATTTCTCCCTATTCTCCCACAGAGCCTGTTAGAGTGTGAGGGAAATTAGCATGAAAATGCAGAAGAAAGAATTTGGAATTGTTTTCATTAAACATGATCCAGCCTATGAACACATATAAGGACCTGTATTAAAGAACAAGGAAGTGGTAGAATCCACTCAGGATAGCTTTATTGCCATGCATGGCAGAATGGATGATTTTTTAAAATTTCCATCCAGGCTTTTTGAGATTAAATAGCAGCATGAAAAACAAACACACACAACAACAATTAAAAACAGGAACAGCTAATCATAGCTGCTCTTTTAGTCATATTTAATTATTATGTCTTAGAACATTTGAAAACCCATGTTTGTCTTGGTAACTTACAAAAGGTTTACAGGCATAGGGAAGCCACACAATATTAAACTTCAAGGTTTAGAACTCTAAGGTTTGAAAAACATCGCCTAACAAGGACATTATTTCAAAGAACACAGATGCCTTCTGTAAACAAACATTGACCCAAACAAGCAAGGCATCTTGCTTGACACAACAGCCCTTGCTGTCAAAGCAAGCTTTCTGTCCATTTTTGATAAAGGATTGTGCCAACTTCTCTCTCCACTTGAACTCTTTTGCCTTTGTGAGATCTTATAATTATATTTACTTGAAAGAAGTAGTAGGAAGGTCCTGGAGAGATAAGAACTCTCCCTTTATTACTTTGTTCTGGAAAACAGAACAAAAATAGGTCAGTTCTTACGGAAATGATGGCTGCATATATAAATAATGTAAACACTCCTATCACTGTCCTGGGGAGGATATTTATCATGTAGACAGCTAGAGACACCCAGATCTGGCCAATGAACTGTTTCTGTTCTCAAACCCCCACGTACAGCTCTCAGATTGTGAACTGTCAATTGGAAACTTGATTATCATCAGTTAAAAATAACCAGGGAACTCTGGCAATAATTTAACCTGTTTGACTTTCTTAAGCTAACAATTAACATTTTAGACTATTGTTGACAAAATATTTAACTTTCCCATGCCATTTGTGCAAACGACTTTTCTAATATTCCTTAGCCGCCCTGGTGGACACACCTTTCCCAAGCTGCTCTGGTCCGGGCAGGGGCCTGTAAAGGACATGCGCGCAAAGACCCTAAACACTTTCACAACATTGCACATTTTAACTAAGAGTCCCTGGGACCTTCAGGAACACTTAAGCACACTGATACTCAGCCTTATCTCGGCAGAGCTAAATTTGAAATACCAATCCCTCTATTTACAATAAAAGCTATTTCACCATTTAAAATAGACAGCTGAAAGCTCAAGTATACTTTTAATCCCTGGAAAAACTGGTATTATGATTCGTTGCTTAGTAGCTTATTATTAGCAATACTAGTAATAACGCCTTGCGTTTCTGCAGTGCTTTACTTTTCCCAACGCCTGGTCAGAAACACACATGCATTTGCTTCTCGCAACAAGCTAGGACAGCAATACTGTTGTCTCTGTTTTACAGATGACTGCTAAGTAACTTGTCCTAGGTCACCCCGCTGGTTAGTGATGGAGCAGGCAAAGAATCGAGGAGGCAGATTCCTTGTCTGATCTGCTTTCTTTCCTCCACACTACGTTAGAGAAAAGATAATCTCTAAAGCCAAAGATGACTTGGAACCACTTATCTACCCATCCTAGCAACACAGTCTACGCAACAGAAAAAAGAGCTTGTCTCAGGCAAAAGGGAAAGATTAATAACGAACCGCAGAAGCTCTAAACCTTACTGTTCCATGGACCAGCAATTATTCAGTTTCACAGTTCATTCAAAGATTCAAACATACTTCACCAGAAAATGATTTAGTGCCTAAAGCCTGCTCCAAGTGGTTAGAAATGCATATCTGCTCAAAGCCCTATAATCCAGGCCCTCTGAAAGGCCTTATTCCTGTAGTCTCTGCAGCAATGGGGCTTCCCCTGAACTTGTACTTGAGCTAAATGAAGAAATTGGCTGAGTAAGGGCAGCAGAATTAGGCTCACAATGTGGAGAGCATGAGAACTGGCTTGGAGGTTATTCTTGCATTGTTCTTGAAACTTAGGCTATTGGAAAAACTCAGACATTATATATTTCTTGCAGTACAACAGCCCTCAAGCCAACGCGATCCCACAGACCAGAAGTTCCCCTGCCATCCACGTTCAAATATTACTGACTCCATACTAGGCATTGTCCTAGCAACTCTGCAGCATACAGGGCTTTCATCTGAGGATGCAGTGCATATTTGATTTTAGATGATCAATATTCTCTCTCTCTCTCTGAAAGGACCTTTATGGCCACTTATGGCATACGGATTAACTATTAAAGTGCTACACTGAACACACCCAGACAGAAATAAATCTGGTTACGGACACAGCAATAAAATTAAGAAAGAATTCTGCCACTCATTCTGTACAAAGACCACTTTAAATTAATAGTGTTTCTGAAAGTAAGAGGACCCCGCGTGAAGTGGGACCTGCAGACCTAATGGGCTTGATGAATCACACCCCAATGCCCAGGCCTCCCTTCAAACACAATGTTATCAGGTTAATACAGTACTTGCATCACCATCTCTGAGTACCATGCTGAGTAACAAAGCTCCAAATTTAGAAGCTAAAATGGAGAAGGGAATTTCCAATAACCAAAAGGGGGGTGGGGGACCAACCTGTGCAATGCCACACGTTTCCAGTAAAAAGCAACCATCAGAAATACACTGTTCTTTTTATTCCTCACATGGCCCCTCTCATCATCACTGTGCTCGGAGAGGGGTCTCCTCCAAGGCAACGTTTTAGGAGGTGGCTGGCAGTTAGGAGGGAGAGATCAGACTCTCTCTTAGAGCACGAGTGGTACAACAGCCACCTCTGGCTTCTGCAGCAGTAAGCCTTCAGTCGGGAGAGGCAGGACCCCGTCCTCTCCCTTCCTCCCAGCATGGATATTGCTATGGTAAAGTTACAATGACCACTGAGGTTGGTTGGTTTCATTTTGCATCCCAAAGCTCACCCCCCCAAGAGGCAGCCTCATTTTACTTCCACGTTGGAGAAAAGAAAAAAATCAAAAGAACACGGCCATAAGCAGATTTGCCACCTTCCTTGCAGAGGCTGGGATAGGACTGCCACTTCCAGTCTCCCAGGCACCCAGGACCAGAGATCGGTCTTCTGCACTGAAAAAGCCTGGGCGCCTTGTCCCCTGTATCATCCCCAGAAACACTTACCAGGAGACTGCGAAGTACACAAAGCAGTATTATTGGGAGACTTGCAGACAGATTATAAATTTACTGGGGACAATCAAGGCATTTAGATACTTTTGGCTGCAGATGCCAGGGACACACACACACATACAAACCTCATTCTTCGCTCCATTCGAGTGACTTCCCCCGACCCTCACTCCCATTCACCTCAGCAGCTCCCTTTCACAAAACAAACTCCCACTGCTCTCCTAGGGAATTCCAGGGAGAGGTGGGGATGGAACAGGTGCTAGGGAAGGGAAATTAGGCCTTGAAGCTCTAAGAGGACCTCACAGGTTAACTCTGTTCAAGGATGAGACAGCAAACACCAGGCAGTTTAACTGTTAGCAGTTAGTTTTCATCTGGAACTCGTGCCAGGAAGTTGCAGTTCTAGGCGACCCAAGCAAAATGTGTGTAGTGGTGGGACAGAAGACCACTACCCTAGCTCCTAGAACTTCTGGAAACTTCATCACCCCACACACAGGCTAGGGATCAGGGGGAGCCACAAAGAAGCATCCCATAGGCCGGGCTGGGCCAGGGTGGGCGGGGGGGTCCTCTCTCTAGAGCTCCTTTTCAAGTTCCTTTGGAAAAGGGAGTTCGACGCGCTGCCCTCCTCTTCTTTGGGCTTTTTGAGTACTTTTAGACTCGCATGGCCATTTCCCGTTGCTGACTTTCATTAGGGCTGGCCTGGGCAAACTGGAACTGCGCTGCGAGCGGACACAGAACATCAGGGGCCCCACAGACCTCAGAAATGGAGGAAGCCTGCCGGGCTGCGGGGCAGGGCTCCACCTTCTACCCAGAGGCCACTGGCCCGGCAGCTCTGGGGGAAGCCGTGCAGAGCGGGCAGTCACCTGACCCGGACTGGCCCGGAGAACCAATGATTCAAGGGATACTCCCTCTGGGATGGGGTGTGTCTGTGCCTCTGAGGAAGAACTCCCAGCCAGAAACTTCATCAGAACTTTCAGGTTTGATGTCCTGTCACCAGGAGTGGCTGAAGACAAGGTACTTCCTAGGATGATAGCGTGGAGACAGCCCCTTCGTGCCTGCCCACGGTCATGAACGCTGCCAGCTGGTGCTACCTGACTGTGGGGCCTGGGAAAAGAAGCGAGGCGGGAGGGCGCAGTGGGGGCGTCCGTGGGAAATCAGGGAGCAAGCCTCTCAAAAACATTCCCTCACTGGTCTTGGGGATGTTTCCACCACAGTTTGCTTTTGACTGAGGGGACACTCACGGAACTTCTCTGTGTTAGAGATTGCCACTTATGGTCTCTTAACCCAAGAAGGGGCCACTTCAAAGGGGGAAGGGGAAAGGGGAAAAGAAGGAAAAGGCTTCGATGAAGGTCAGCTGGACTGACAGATGCCTTCAGGCTGAAGGACGGCTTGTTGGACCTAATCAGAGCTGGCTAGCCAAAACAGGAGGATCTGTGAGGACAGGGCCTTCCTCAGTGGCTCACTCAGATCTTGCCAGCCTACCCACCTCTTGACTCCAGAGGGCCTCTGGAAAACTCGGGCTTTCTACTGCCTAAGTGACACCCTACGAGTGTAGGAAAGCCCGTGAATGAGCACCAGCAGAACTCGATGAGTAAGAGTGTAAAACCGCACCAACTGCCTACCCAGTGGCCTTGGAGGTAGTCAGGTAACACCTTGGCCCTTTTCATTGCTGTCCACTCCACCTCAGGCCAAGGCAAGCTCTACCCTCACAAATGACCACCGGACCACAGCCAGAATCATGAGAAAACCAGGTGCCTTACCGCAATCAGGGCTGAGTTCCTCTGGTCCCCAGGGGTTGAAGCTTGTGATTGCGGCTCCCCGTCGATCCCACCACCGCCACCATTACTGCTACTGTTCAGCAGGTGCTGTTGGTGGTGATGGTGATAGTCTGGTGGGGGCGGTGGGGCGGCTGTCGCTGCGGCTTGAGAGGCTGTAGGAGGGGCAGCAGGGGGCGGTGGAGGGGCGGTAGTGGTGGCCGCAGCGGTGGTGGCCTTGGCGTGCTTGCCAGCCTTCCTCGCCCCCTGGCCATGCTGTACCAGGCTCAGGAGCTGCAAGGTGCTCTCTCGTTCCCGGTCTGAGCTCTCAGCCCTACCACGTTCATAGCGTCCTTCACAGCTCAGGTGGTGCTGGCGGCAGACGGCGATCCGAGCCCGGAGGCGCTCCACGATAGCACTGTGCACTCTCGGGGTGACTGAGCCCCCTCCAAGGAGCCCCGCCCCAGGGGCCCCCCCTAGCCCTCCTGTGGGGGCCTGTGGGGGCGCTGTGTCCCCCATCTTACTGGACACAATGCTGCCTCTGGGATGGTGAGGTGGAAGGAGGCTACTGCTGGCTATTGCAGCCAAATCTGTTTTTGACAATGTGAGCTCAGTACTCAAGGCCACATGAATAGAGAGGTCTTCAGAGGTTGGGGGGAGCAGTGGAGAAGGTGTGGGGGAGGGGAGTTAGTAAAAACAGGGTGAGGAGACAGAACAGAAACCAATCGCAGAGGATTAGTTGGAAACAAACCCTTATCAACTTACTCTAATTGCATTTGACAGCTCTTGAGAAGTTGGACAGAGTTGATGGGGCTTTTTTTTTTTCCCCCACCACGCTGACGAGAGCCACTAGGTACTTTGTAAACACACGATCTGGGGGTTAGAGCAAGAATTCAGGGATTGTCAAGCCAGAGACAGAAACAGACAGCAAAGGGAATTGAGAGGGTTATTAATAGTGAGCTGGACTCCCCCTCACCTAGTTGTTTCAGAAAAAATTTTATGGGGATGTTTCTGCAGAGAAACACAGCTCTACCAGGTCTATGTAACCTGCAGCCTTTACTTTTCCTTGGGTTAGAAAAAAAAAAGTGCTGTTTCAGAAAATTTTTGAAGTCAATGTTCAGAATGTACAAAAATCAAGAGAGGCTGTCTTTTGGCTTTTAATTTTTCCTCCCTTTCCTTTGGCTCCGGTGTTTTCTCCTCTTTGAGGTACTGTAGGATGTCTTCTCCCAGAAGAGGGAGATGGCTTTTCAATTGTTAACAATGTCAGTAATTGGACTTTTGGACCATGCTCTTTTCTTCAGTTAATCCAATCACCGGTAAAATCCTCATTCCCTCTAAGGTTTCCTAGCCTTAAATGAAAGCAGTCTGATCAAGTCGCTAGCCACTGAGAGAGATCCTTCAACACATTTTTTTCCTTCCCGCTTACGCTTCCTCACCCCCGGCTCTATTCTAACACAGTATCAAGAGAGAAAACTCTTCCGAGAGTAATTTACAAACGATGGTCAAACTTACAAACTTCCAGCCAATTGCACCGAGTCATGTCCAGCCACTTTTCTGTCCACTTTTGTACATTCCATCCCCGGCCAGTGGATCTGAGGGTCTGGACTCGCAATAAGCAATGTGGTTCTATCTCTTGTAGTGCTCCGCTTTATAGATGGGGGAAAAAAAAAAAGTAGCTTGTATTTTCCTTTCTGTTTCCCGTCTGTTGTTAGCCGCTTTGCTGACACTGGCTCCGCCGCCCGGAGTCACGGCGATACACAGGCTTTCATTGTGCTCCGACAGGAGACGGAGAGAAAGAGAGAGAGAGTGAGACAGAGAGGGAGAAAGAGAGAGCCAGCAAGCTGCAGATGGGGGCGGGGGGAGGGGGTGGGCAGGAGAGCTGATCCGCGGCTCCCTGGTGGAAGGCTGGTGCCACTGCACGAGTGAGTAATTGCAGCCAGGCCCCGGAGAAAGGGGAACGCAGAGGGCCTCCCAGTGGCGGAAGAGGTAAATCCCGAAGCCTGCGCGTCTCAGTGGGGCTCACTTAACCTCCCTTGGCTAAGTGGGGAAGGCTGGGGAAATTCCCCAACCTCTACACAACTACTTCACCAGCTCTGAATGTTTAAGAAATTCCCGGCCAGGGAATGTATTTTCCCTTTCAGACTTACATTACGCCCCCCTGAGGATATCGTTTTCATTTTTCAATATGTTGTAAATGACACCACTGAGCACCCTAGCCAGAGCTTGGGTGAGCACCGAGGAAATGTTCATTAGAATAATAAGGAAGACGGGTGAGTATGTGCGTGTTGGGAGGGGGAGGAGGGCGGGGTACAGAGGAAATCACATTGCTAGCACCGAAAGGGCAGGCGAGTGTCTACCTGGCCTGCCTGTTTTGTGTGTCTTTGGGTAAGTCAACCTGGGTGATTACAAGCAAATCAGTAGGCATAAATACAAGATTTTATGACGATGAAATCACCAGTACCAGTTCTAGAAAGGAAAATAAAGGTTTTTCTTTGAAAACACAAGATTACCTGTGACAAACAACTGCAAGATCTGAGGTCTCCACGGAGCTCTGGTTTACGTATTTAAGGAGGAAAATCAGTATGTAACAGTCGAGTTTTAAGAAGTTTAATAACACAAACCAAATACATCAGTTACACACTCTTGTCCCCTCATCTTCATGTGATCCTGCCTTTAAGATCTCAAACTGTAGATTGGACTCTGCTTGCCATTATCAATTATGGAGAATAAATGCAGATCAGCACCATATTGGGGTAGTCAGGACTATAAATATGCTGAGTGTCCTAACTTGGAAGTCATTTGGATTTGAGGTCTCAAGCAATGGGACTTCATTAAACCAACTCTCCCATCTCAGTAATATGGTCCTTCTCCAAACTGACCTATGGATAGAAATGAATGGGTAAAGTCAATGCAAACATTTGTAAGACTGGACTTACTTACAGTTTAGTTCCCACTAGGCTGGCCTGCTTTAGTCCATTTTATTTTCACAAGTTCTGGAGTATTTGTTTGGAACTGGGGACAAGTATACTCTGATGGAATGTAACTTTTTTACTTTTCATTGGAACTTCTATCTGTCCTTTCCAAGGCTAAGTTCCTCACTACTCATGTGGGGAAAGGCAGAAATATATTGTTAGGTATGTAAATTTGATGGAGAACTCTGTCATGAGGTATCATTAAAAATCGAAGGAGTTTTGATCATTTTATATTTGATTTTTTAAAAAGTTGTATTCATTAGACATTATCTTCCATTACTCTGAGTACTTTATATTCAGCAATCATACTTGATAAAAGAAAATGTATTATTTAAATTTAAAACTGTTCACTCGACAGTCATGTCATAGCACTGGTTTTCATTAGTAACTCAGAATCCTTAGTCAAATCTGCTATTCCTTTCTGATATAAACTTTGATTTCCATGCTAGACAGGGACATACCTTAAAAACTTGTCAAGCAGGAATGTAGTAAGTTGTCATACTATATTCAGTGGTGTAAGTCACTTTTTTAGTGTCTTTTGTATACATTTGTCCTTGACAGCCATTTAATTTCAAGCTGAAATCATTATCATCTACATCCTCATTTCCACTCACATCAGCTACTGTTTATTTAATCACTGTTTCAGGCATAGCACTTCACACAGATCTCCCTCAATCCACAGTCTTGAAAGATAAGTATTATTGACCTCATTTAGAAATGAGGAAACTGAGGCTCACAGAAATTAAGCTCCTTGTTCCAGTTCAAGTAACAGCTCAGGACTCCCCCTCAACACTGATGTCAAATCTATGCTGTCTTAACCACTGGCCTTGCTGCCTCAGTAGAGCAAAGCTGCAATTTTACTCTAATCAGCTTGCTAGAGTCTAAGCCAGTCCTGTAATACCTCCAAGAAATGAGTAGTGAATAGAACTACCCATCTGAAGATGAGAGCAGACAAGTGAGAAAACATGGTCAATCCCATCCAACTGCCAATAAAATACACATTTATTTTTCCCTCGTTCCCCCCCCCGCCCTTTTTATGGTATTGTTCTCTAACCCTAAAGTTTCTGGGTAGCCATATGAATTCTTTTAAGCATTACTTGTCCATTTCTCTCATCATCTCTACTAACCATGGCTACCTAACACTAAAGCACCTAACACCACAGTAATAATGCCCAGATCTAAATAGTTCACAGACATGTGAGATTTTAAGTTTACAAAGTATTTTTTATTGTTATATTGAATCAATGATACTGATGGTTATGATGATGACAAAATAATACAGTATGTCATAATACCCGTAAAGGTTAATTCAGTTTTTCAACATTTCCATTTTCTTATGGACTACTTGCTTTTGGCCCCCCTAATCCATGCTCATTCTCATTTCCTAACAGCCTGTCTCTCTGCCATTCTTTTGGTGTTACCGTATGCCTAAAAGCCTCTTGTATTCTTCAAACACCCACTGAAGAAGTTTGCTTGGTTGCAGTAACCTCAGACATCAGCAAAACTACTTTTACATTTCCTGATCAACAGTCAGAATGCTGTTCCAACGGGAAAGATGCTTCACGCCAACAAGGTGCCTGACCTAGGAACTGGGTCAGCTGCCATCATTAAGTCCCTCTAATCATTAGTGCCTTAATTTTTACAAATCAAATGCAGGGTATTTCAAACAATACATAAATTAATTTTAAAAACTCCAGGTGGAAGGAACTCTCGCTCTTCAGCATTCTCAAGCTTGTCTGTAGTGTCACGCACGTATGAGAAGTGATGCTTCCAGGGGCATTAGAGATACTTTACAAATCATTCGCTTTCCTTTTCCATGGCCTTCCTTTTTACAAGTCATTCATGATCCTTCACGCTTCCAACTTGACTATTACTTTCCCTCCAATTCTGCCTTGCTTCTTTTTGGGCACTGTCACTTCATCTTCAACTTTCAACTATGGCTTCATTTCAGTTAAGGATTATTTCGATATGCCAGAGAAATAAGAATAGAGATATGTGACTGAAATTTCTATTTCACACTTTTCAAAAAGGTATGTACTTCTCACGTGAAACATCAGCCTCAGTATTCTCAGCACTATGGTGAGCTTTTTCCACTTGTTTTGCTTACAATAAGAATAGGGATAATTTCAGAAAAGTGATGAAAATACTAAGTAATCTCTATGTAAGGACTTAATAAAGTGTAGCTTTTTATGTGTGCACATACACTGAACTCCATGCATGAACCGCATAATAACTGAAGCCAGGTTCAATGAACACTTGAGGTGAGAAACAATTATCTAAAATTGCACCGTAAAATAGATCCTATTATGACATTACCTTTAAGAATTAAAGATACAGAATAGACAGGGTCCATTTGGTCACTATGAAACCATTTCACTTTATTATATTTTGGGAAAATTTAGATGTGCAAAGCAATGCAGATGCCAAAGTATTCTTTTAAACTATTTTTGGCTGAATTCATCTCTCTGAGGTCTTCAGATCCTAACATAAATACATATATGGGAAAGGTTTTAGATAAAAATAAATAAAATACATCTTAATCATTAACATGTAGACAAATTGAATAAAAGATAGAAAGAATATTATGAAGCATGAAAATACATATCATGAAATTATTCCTGAATGTGAGGGTTGAAAGACTCTGGAGGCCTGAGATCTATTTCTAAAGGGAACTTTAGAAAAGGAGAGAAGCTCTCCTCTTTGGAATGGGTAAACTACAATCTGATTCTGACACGAGGGGATTGAACTGAATGAGACATTCGGTTTCTTCCACGGCCCACTGATCTAAATAAGGACAGTAGTAAAGAATATATCAGTGCAGATCATTTAATACTGTGAAAAGATAATAAACGCATCTGGGCAGGGATTCAATAATAAATACACATAGATGTTAGTCTGAATTCATTTTTAAAATACAGTATTTGTCTATTAAGCTGACAGGACACGAACAGCTCATTTGCTTGATAATCATCTGTTATAAAGGCATTGTTTTATAATTTTAAAATACTCTTACTTAAAAATTATTAGGCTTCTGTTTTCTATGTACAGCAGATAAAACTTTTATTTGGCTGTAGAGTGCCATTTCATGGAAATTAAGATGAACATATGTTTTAAACAAGATATTTGCCATGAAAATACACACAAAATATCTAAATATGTCACATGATACAGAGAAACAAGACTCATGATCTTCACATTTACAGGAATTTATAAAATCTTCTCTGAAGGAAATGTGTTACAATTCAGTCAAACTTCTCATCTTGAAAGTAATCCGCCCAATTTAGATATTCTTGAAGTTGACCATATTTCTGTGTATACAATAAAAAAGCTAGTTATTTTACTCAAAGCAAAGAAAATAAGGTAGGCCTTTTCAATCTATAGACACAAACACGAACACGTTCACTTCTCATTTCAGGATAATCATGAACAAAAATCTTATAAACAGAGACACAATTTCAAATAAGCATTTCTAACCCATAAAGTATTGGAAAGAGATCAAACTGAACATTATTATTAATCTCATAATGTTCTTATAAATTATAATTTTTCTATATTTGTGGAAGTATAACAACTTCAATAACTTATTCAACAAAAATTTGTTGAACACATAACATATATTGAATACTTTCTAATGACTGTCTAGGTACAAAAAAAATTGCTTTCCCTGTCCCTAGGAAACCAGAGTTCGGTGGTAATACAGCAATAACAAGTGCCATAAAGAACTATATAGACACTGTATGAGGGTTCAGGAGAGTAGCCATGGTTAGTTGAGGTGATCAGAAAAGAACAGAAGCACTTAAACTGTCATGGGAGAAAGGATTTGGTTGGCAAAGATTTTGGGGGGGGGCGGGCAACAGTCCATACAACAGTGAAAAGGCAAGAAAGTATGAGGTTTGACTACAATTTGAGGTTTGTTTAGGGGAATAGAGAGAGATGAGACTGAACCAAAGAGGTTGTGGTCAAAGTATGAAATGCTAGGTGAAGGAGTTTAGTAATAATGTGACAGGCAATGTGAAATTGCTAAAGTGTTAAGGCAGAGACTGACATGATCTGGGGTGTATTTTAAGAAAAATGGTAAAACATCCATTCTAGAATATTTTGGCATTTAGTTATGAATCTATTGTAATAAGTTAGGTAATGAGATCCCAAATTTGAGTGACAGCCAATGAAGATGAAGAGTCAAGACCAGGGCAGGACAAGATAAGAGAGGAGTCAGGATGATTTGGAAATTTCACAAATGATTTGGAAAGTTCAAACTGCTGACTTCAGTTGAGATTAACTGACCTAATGGCTTCTTTACTTATGAACTCTGGTTCCACTCCTAGTAAAGGAAGAGAGGATCCTGATGACCCTGACTTTGGTGGTGATAGGAACCTATGGAAAAGTATAGGAGGAATGTGTTTTCTTTCTAGACAGGGCCATGAAACTTTTGTCCCCTCAAAGATCTCTGACTGGATCACCTTCTCTGGAAAGAACGAAGAAAAGAACAGGAGGGGAAATAACCTTTGAACTACTTGGGGATTCTTTTGACCGACTACTTAGGTTCTACTAGACAGAAATAAAGTACTCTAGAATTAGAAACCTATACCTTAAAAGTTTGATTGTTTTTATGCTTTTTATATTATCTTTCTTTATATTCTTTTTTCTCTTACTAAATTTTTTCTGGAAAATTATAATCTATCCCAGCTATACTAAGAAAAGGAAGGAAAATCTCTCCTTGCTTTTATTACTAATAATAGTTAACATTAATTGATCACTTACTAATTGCTAGGTCCAATACTAAATGCTTAAAATGTGTTGATCATTTAATTTCCACAATCAAAACTCTATTATTATTGTTTTAATTCCTATTTTACTGAAGAGACAACTTAGAGAAATAAAGTAACTTGCCTCCAGATTCTACTGCTAGAAAATATTTAAATCCATGCTTTTAACCATCATAGTATATTATTTCTGAGACTTAAAGTGCAGAGGGACGAGGCAGGGTGCAGCTTTAGTAAGAAGGAAAAAAAAAAAAAAGCCCTCCAAAGGAAAAGTGAAACTCAGAGAGAAGGCAGTTTGTAACTCCTGGTCATTCAATCCATTTAAAGATTCTGGTTCCATCATTCTTTTTTCCTAAAAATCTGGAGAGTTTGGATTTTATTATGTTAACCCCTTCAAGTGCCAGGATGGACCTACTGATTAAAACAGGTGGAACTGTGGAAAGGGAGTGTGAGAAAGAGGTCAGAACATAAAAGAAGGAGTTTGGAGTCTTCTGCTCAGAAAAAGAGCAGTTAGACATGAAGAAAGGAACGGGTTTATAGAGGCAGAGAACTATAAAGAGGCTGAGAAGGGAACCTAGAGCACCTTTAAGCAGGGCCCTCAATGTTTAATTTGCTTAAGAATCACCTAATTTGTTAAATATTGGGTGTTTAACACCCCCAAGGATTCTCATTCAGTAGGTCTGCAGTGAGGCCAGGAACTACACATTTTCCACAAACTTCTAGGTGAGTCTGACATAGGTAGTTAGGGCCATGATTTGAGAAACATCAGTTTAAGGAGCAAAAGAAAAATTAAAAGAAAAAAAGTTTTAAAGGGGAGAAAGAAAAAGACACCACATAAAAAGTTTCAGGAAGGGGTGGGATATCAAATCATTATTTAAAATTCTTTCTTATGTAACAATCTTTATGTAATACATTTAAAATTTACATACAATTGTAAAACTGAGACTTGATACTTTTGATGTACTTTCTTCACTTCCTTATGTTCATGTATTCACCACCCCATCCCAACAACCCTATCTTCAGCTTCTCTTGGAAATCCCATCATCACATTCACTTTCTTCTTAACAAGAAACACTCGTTAGAATTTAGCCAGTGGTGTATGATAGTATGTTCTTCCAGTCAAATTTAGAACGAGACAATTACTTTTATTATATTTATTATAGGTTTTGGTTTTATTATAATTTTCTTATCATTCATTCCTTTCTTACACTCAAGTAACCCCTACCCTTTAATGTCATCCTAGGTTAAAAACAGATCATCCTAGCTCAATTGTTAGGAGGAGGAACAAGAAGAATGAAGTCAGTCTAGTTGGCAGGTCTTTGGGAAGATATGCTGAGATATCCTGAGACAAGGGAAGAAAAACGCTTGGAGGAGGAAGGGGCAGGTAAGAGAAAAAGCAAGGTGTGTAATACAAGCTGGGAGGAAAGCCAGGACCAGATAGTTTTTGTGAGGTAAAAGAAGGGGTTGACATAATAATTAGGAAGTAAGAGCAAAAAGGGCCACAGATAGGGCGACTCAAGCAGCACTGAGCCCTGGCATTCAGAAGGGTTAGGGTAGCTATGCCCATGAGCCTGCAACCAAGGAAGAAGGTGTGCGTCACAAGCACATGCAGTGCTGTCACACGAGGACACTCACATTCTCTGAGGGGTAGGTGGAGTGACGCTGAGAAATGTCAGAGCACCTGATAAATTCTGAAGTTTAATTGCAGCACAGAAAGCTGCTGCATATGGGTTTACAGTGGCTCTAAACTTTAGTTTCTAGGACATCTTTTGAGAAAATTTATAGACAAATATTTTTAAAGCAGGAGGGATCCCAAAAAGAAAATGAAGCTCTTTGGTATTGCATGTGGAAAAAAAGGTGCATGTTGTCCTAGACTTGCATGGTCTTGAACTACTTAACTGTCCACTGCTAAGTGTTGTTCTTGAAGCATAATAGAACACTTGGCTTTTTTCTTCCTAAGAGTATTTTTTCTTATTCCAGGTCCCTTCTGTTAGAAACCCTGTTAAGCTTTTTCTAAGGTTCATGACCTGGAAGTGCTTTTAGTTTTTCTCTGCAAGAAGTTTAACGTTCTTGGGGCGCCTGGGTGGCTCAGTCATTGAGCGTCTGCCTTCAGCTCAGGTCGTGATCCCAGAGTCCTGGGATCGAGCCCCACATCAGGCTCTCTGCTCAGCGGGAAGCCTGCTTCTCCCTCTCCCACTCCCCCTGCTTGTGTTCCTTCTCTCGCTCTCTCTCTGTCAAATAAATAAAATCTTTAAAAAAAAAAAAAGAAGTTTAACGTTCTTCCCCATTTATACTATTATTACATAATATGTTTAGTACATGCACAGTGATTTTTCTACACAATTCTTTAAAAAATTGTGTCCCAATAGGTTTTTCAACTCCACTGGAGGGTTGGCAATCCTTAAATGCACCCATAAAAGCAGCTAAGAATTTCATGTCAGCATGGAAAATGAAGATGGGACTTACTGGATAAGTCATGACTCCTCCCTAAGGCTAACAGAAAAGCACAGAGGAGGACAGGGAGGAAAGCACTGGGAGAGAAGTTGAAGCAAAGTAAAAGATAAAAAGCTGAGGAGAGTAAAATGAGAGAAAAACTACAGAAGGTTCCAGATGGGGGGCCGGCGGGGGAGGCAGAGAGATCACCAGGTGGGGGCTTGTGGTGGGAGGAGAACCGTCAGAAGGGAAACCAGTTCTGATGTCACTGTCCAGACTGGGAGACCTCTGCAGAACATGACATGTCCTGACAAGTTCCTGTTGTTTGTTCTCTTTTTCTTTCCCTCTGCTTATAAGTTTATTCACTGAGCTCTCTTCTTTTTTATCTTCCTCTTTTACAAATTTCCTTATGATATAAATAACCCAGGCAACAGATCTCATCAGGCTTTTTTTTTTTTTTTAAGATTAAATATACTGTTGATCTGAGTTGCCTGAAAATCTACTATACGTTTTCTCTCATACATTCACGTAACTAGACTTGTTTTAGAAGATTGCAATCATATTAGCATTCTTTCCAAGTACCATAAACAATTCTAAAAGCTCTGTGAGCAGACCAGAGCTTATGAGCTGCCAGCAGATCTTCGGGAATCCAGTGCACTCTTCAAAACCCCACTTTATCCCTGATATCAAACTTAGTGATCAACAGGATTTGGGGGGATCAAAATCAGTGCCGTGGCCTGAAACCTCTGCATTCCCCTTGATCTTCAGTTACAGTGCTCACTGCTCAGCCCATGTCCTCAAGAAGAGGATGTGGGGGGTATTAGAACTGGCAGCCGAGATCCTTTCCTCAGATTGGTACCAGGTGCTTCTTCACTCTCGGGTCACAAGAACTGTTCTAAAGAATAGGAAGCAGACAAGCAGACGTGAGTCCTATACTTCGTCAAAGAAAATAAGCGGACTTAATATATATGTAAGGAATACCATATATATAAAAGTGAAAGGACAGAGGTCCTTCATTACAGGACGGTATTATTGCGGATTTCAATTTATCTGATGAGCTGAAGGAATGCTTAGAACATCAGGGCACCTATTCAGGGTGGGACAATGGTAAGCATGAAAGGAATGGGTGGAAGAAGAGAAAATACAAAGACAGGGAAAAGGAGAGATTCTCTTTAAAATTTCACTGTCCTCTAGTCATTTGTATCCTTCTGCTGATCATAATTAGGCTCCAGAATCTATGAATGAGATGATTCTTCTATATTCACCTTACCTCCTTAATCCAGCCACTTTCTTTTGACTGACTGAAAATTCTTTCCACTGTTTCTTTAACCTGTTCATCTTCAACTTCTTCTGTCTTTGCAATGGAGCAACATTCCTGGTACAGCTTGAACTTAAAATGTTTCAGTTTATGATAAATTCGGGTACGATCAGCACAAATTGTGCCAACAGTAAACACCTAAATCAAGGAATAAACATTATTATCTGACATATGAAGTAAAAAATATACTAATGATTATACAGCTTTTCTGGCTGTATATTAGCAAAATCTAATAAATGCATTATTAATTTTTAAAATGTGTATACAATGGTTCCTTTACCTTCGCTCATTATATAACTTAGATAAGAAAAACTGAGCATCTGCTATGTTTCAAGTATTGGGCTAAGCACTGGAGATATATAAATGAAAGATGTACTACCTGTGTTAGGGGAGCTTACAGTCTTGGGAGAAAAACAAACAATCACAGAACAATGTGTCAAATGCTGGGCAAGAGATGCTATCAAGGTAGAGAGGAGGGACAATTAACCCAATTCAGTGATGAGAAGAATCCTTGAGTAGGTGATGCTTGAACTAAGTCTTCAGAAAATAGCTAGCCAAGTTTGAGAAGGAGGAGAAAAATGGCTTTTAACACAGAAGGATGGGCATACCTGAAGCAAGAAAAGCATGCAAGCAATTGTATGTACATAGTTACTGAGTTAAAAATGCCTAGATGACGATAATTTTCTAACTTATAAGCAACATGTAAAACTGAAACAAACTCTTATAACCAATATTCAGTATTGGCAGTTTTTCATTAAATTAATTTTTTCCAAATAATTTTGTCAAGTAAAAAATAACTTTGTGTTTAGTCATATATGTTTCCTTAATTAGTCACTCTGATATAACACATTAATACTTTATTGTTAGCAAACTATGAGAATTTTAATTTCTATGTTTATATGGACTTCTAGGATTCTATGATTAAGAATACTCTTCTTGGGGCGCCTGGGTGGCTCAGCCGTTAAGCGTCTGCCTTCAGCTCAGGTCATGATCCCAGGCTCCTGGGATCGAGCCTCTCATCGGGCTCCCTGCTCAGTGGGAAGCCTGCTTCTCCCTCTCCCACTCCCCCTGCTTGTGTTCCCTCTCTCGCTGTGTCTCTCTCTGTCAAATAAATAAAATCTTAAAAAAAAAAAATACTCTTCTTGTGAAATCAACCAACCAGAACATTCCTCTTTCAGAATGTTTTGCATATGTACTGTTATACACACTGATAACTAAAGTAGGAAATCTAAAAACTAAACATTACAACTAAAAACATTATAACATGATCAATCTTCTTCTCTGGATTAATCTGAGGAAATAGACAAACTCCTTGTTAAATTATATATTTGTCTCTGTGCCTAAATTCACTAATGGGTTATGGTTTCATGAGTTCAGTACAAGTGGTATAGTTACAGTATTGATCTATGTAACTTGTATTCTATCTGACAAAGAACTGTATTGTTTTTCTGAAGCCACACTGAAAGGGTTCACAGAGGTGATGAGTTCAATAAATAATCTGAGTATATTGGCAAAAAAATAGTAATAAAATGAAGAGTGTATTGGCAAAACTGAATAAAAGTCAGGTTTGATGCATCATCTTGTGAAGATGGTATTTGGGACATCTTACAATCTTTCTTAAAATCCTCGAAAGTTGAAGAAAACCAGGTTCAGATTTCTGTTCAAGTTCTATGAAAACCCTTCTGTTTTTCAGATCATTAGAAATAATCAGGTATTATTGTACATTGCTTGTTTACTCCCAGGAACCTTCCCGTTTCAACATTATCATCAAACCAGTCATATCAACACTAACAGTTCTCTTGCCGATGCCTCCTTTTTTACTTTGAGTGAAAAAGGTACCACAATATTGCAGTGGCCACAAGCGGTACCCTCTGTCTCTCCATTTCTGTCATCAAAGTAGACTGTGTGGGAGAAGTCTCCTATGGCTGTTCTGGATAAAGTACAGTAGAAGAATAATATAATTTTTTAAAAATTTCCAGCACACTGTATTTTATATTTCCACAAAACTGAGGAATTTATCTGTATAAAATTTTTAAGTTGGGGCAAGAAGGAAGAAGAGGTATTTAAAAAATCCTTATTTAAATTTTTTTTACCTGTATGAAACAAAAATACCCATTGAAAATATTTAACATTATAGTTTACTTCTTTCCATTTCTAATTCCTATCTTTTTGGCTGCTACTTACACTTATGTAGATCAATAAACCCAAAATTACCTTTAGAATATTCTCATACTATTTTTCCCCAAAATGTGATCACATTTTAAAAGCCTAAACCATTGTTAGTAAGTGTTCACAGAAAAGGGTAAATGCTTCAGCGAACTTCATGATTGTGTCATCTGCTTTAATTGGATTACTTTGCCTAGCATAAACTTATGGGCACTGAATATGTATAGTTTTATGATTCTGGCTATAAGTAGTTATCCAGTATTCTAAAAAGATGTATCATAATCTCTCTCTCTCTAGGAATCTTACAGTCCATGAAACTGCTAGTTTCAATGCAACCATGACAGAACTGCATTTTATCATTTGATTTTAAAAATACATTGCTACTTTGGGCTCCCTGCTCAGCAGGCAGTCTGCTTCTCCCTCTGACCCTTCCCCGTCTCGTGCTCTCTATCTCTCATTCTCTCTCTCAAATAAATAAATAAAATCTTTAAAAAATACGTTGCTACTTTGAGAGCTATCAACTGGCATTTTAAGGTAGGTTTTAATTGTATACCTTTAGATGGAAAATAATAATTTTCTAATATATTTGTTAACTTTGATGTTTTCCATTGTGTGACTGGTGTATTAATGTTCTTTGCTTTTTTTCTGTGAGATCTCTTTTATTTTTTAGATATTTGAATAACTATTTTATACAGAATCTTTACTCTTTCACAGGAATATCAGAACTCCAGAAATGGTTTTCCAACTCACTTCCCTTTCCAGGATTAGCTGTAGACAGCAAAGACTGTGAATGTATAGCACTATTTTTGACCTATACAATAGAACATGATCCTTAAAGTATTAAATCACTTTTATTAGGATTCTATGTGTCTTAACTCATAAAACATCATAGATCGGTTTTTAAACAATGGGGAGATTTGCATATAGACTATGTTGAGAAAAGATATGTGTTTTCATAGTAACTTGCCAAATGATACATTAAAGACTAATTCTGAATTCATTATCCCCATGCAAACTTTCTAAGTGAATCTTGCAGATTGTTTAGAGGGATCTGGTCAATTACTGCCACTAGTATTGAGGAATCGTACTACCCAATGTAGCAGAAGGATTTAGATTAATAATCTCTTTCTAGCTTAATAACTGACTGGCAGTATTTAGAGGCAACTCTGAGAGCCCCCAAACACACACACCCTTCATGGATATACAGACTCACCAGAGGAAGCTCTCAATATTAATATTTTTGCATTTATAAAGGTAATACTTTTATAAAGATTAAAAAATAAATAGAAGTAGACTACATCCTGCACTTCTCTCTTCACACTGTACTGCTTTGCTTGTTTACAAATACTTCTCTTCAAATATTTCCAATATTTTCTTCATTTTTGTCTTTTCATTCAAAATTAATGGCACCTTAAGTATGTGTTGATTATCTAGACTTTGACACACTTCTGATACACTCTAGGTTGAAACATAGTTTTCTTTCTATTCTCATATTAAGATGACAGGCATCTGGGAACTGTCAATTTGGTAGATTATCTGCCATAAAATTTTCCACTTGGGTTAAATTCTCCTTTGGACCTAAAGGGGACTTTTGCTTCCCTTGCCCCAGTTATCTGCCTTTTCATCCTCATCCTACATGCTTCTCCCCCCGCCCCCCCACAGTTTGGGTGATGTGCACTTACACAAAGTTCAGTATCTGAGTTAGGAGTGAATCTGCCAGAGACATAGCCAAGACATATTTTTCACATTCAAAATGTATACCCTCTCTCCTTGTACTCTTTTCCCTTCTCCTAGTGCTTTTTCCATTTATAAAAACAACAGGGTTATTTGTGCAAGCTATGTATTGAAAATTTCTAAATACTGAAAACTAAAATGAGAGCGAAAAATACCTGTTTATCATGTGACATGAAATCATCTGTTTCCATAGTCCTGGTGTTGTACAACTTTCCTGATAAATGCACTGAGTATCTGCAGTGGCGATGCAATCCACAGGCCTGGCAGGAGCAGTTTTCAGGATTCTTCAAATGGATACTTACATTAGAATAATTTTCCACCCGCTCCTGAAAACAATTGAAAAATGTAATGAAGCTTTCCAAGATTGGAAAAAACAACAATAAAAGAAAACGTAAAAAGAACCTAACCAAATTAAAGTCAATATTTGGAATCACAATAATGGGGTAAGATGTAAGAGCAAAACACACTCTTATTTCTTACTTTAACACAGAGCACACAGTAGATATTTGACAAGATATTTTTAAATTAAAAAAAAAGAATTTATAATTTAGGTTGTTAAATGAAAAGAAACCAGACTAGAAAAAAAATTAGTTTCCCACTTTTGAGTTACTATTCGGTAGTATTCTTCACAGATTTTAATTTACTTTTTTTCCCCCTCCTCTCATCTCTAGTTAGTGTAAATGAGGTTTAATAGTTAAAAATAGAAAAAAAGAGCAGCAAAAATTCAGGATACTATAACAAAAAGATGAGTTCATTTAGGTTAGTCAAAAACTGAGAAAAACCAGATCACATTCAGTCTCTTTGGTGTAAATTATATCCTATTTCCCACAAAATATTCCAGAAATGATTTGATCGTCCTATGGGCACTTACTAAAGGACCATGAAAATAAGCAAGTTGGAACCAGGAATGCTAGGGGGCCAGCTCTGATACGGACAGTCTAATAGCTGAATTAGCAATGAATAAGTGAACTGAGAAAATATTTGGCATTCATAAATAAGCTTTATTAAGCTGTGCAATTACTTCTGGTTGCATATTTTTGCTCACACTCTAGGCCTGTGCTAGATACTACTGTCATAATTAGTAGTGTAGATTAGGTTTTACCATAATATTTGAACTACATACAGTGAGCATATTAGCAGGGTTACTGATCCACATTTGTATTCTCTATCAGCCTGATGGTAATTAAATATTCAGTATACCGATAGTTTCCTTTTCAACACTGTATGATTCATAACTACATTGTATTTTGTCTACTTTTAATATTTCTCATATTTCATGGCAGTTTGTGACACACGTCACTTACAGGATGATATTCAGAGTAAATAGGTGACTAAACCACTTCCCCTTCTTGTTTCTGTGGTACGTATGGAAGCACATTCGAGATGAAAGCTCTATCACCTTGGCTCTGTGAGTGACTACAATACGCAGAACGCTATTGTAGATTTACATGGGACGTATAATAGAACTGAAAAGTAAGCTTTTGTTGGTTTAAGCTGTTAACATTTTCACTGTTGGGTGCCTGGGTGGCTCAGCTGGTTAAGCGACTGCCTTCGGCTCAGGTCATGATCCTGGAGTCCCAGGATCGAGTCCCGCATCAGGCTCCCCACTCAGCGGGGAGTCTGCTTCTCCTTCTGACCTTCCTCCCTCTCATGCTCTCTCTCTACCATTCTCTCTCTCAATAAATAAATAAAAATCTTTAAAAAAAAAAAAAGATTTTCACTGTTGATCTGTCATATTTATTTTTTGCAGTATAACTTAGCTAATTCTGACCAAGATCATATTGAATTATTTATGTCTCTGAATTTTTAAGCTAATATTTTCTTGTATCTCTCAGTTATTATTTCAACATCGGGTAATCCAAATTCAGCATAACATGCCATGGTATAGTTAAGCATAATATGGCATAGTGGCATGGGCTTTGGAGTCAGATAAATACTAGGAATTTATGATTTCTAGGTTTAAACATTGGCCTAGTTAATTACTAGCTGTGTAACCTTGTGTTTGGAGTCACAGTTTTCTCAACTCTAAAACAGAGGAAAGAATAGTGCCTTCCTCATAGGGTTACTCTGAAGATCAAATAAGATACTTTGCATTGCATGAAAATTACTTGGCAAAGTTAAGTGATCAATAAATATATGGTATTTTTCTATTTTTTTTTAAAGATTTTCTTTATTTATTTGACAAAGAGAGAGAGAGGGAGAGCACAAGTAGGCAGAGAGGCAAGCAGAGGGTGAGGGAGAAGCAGGCTTCCCGCAGAGCAGGGAGCCCGATGTGGGGCTCAATCCCAGAACCCTGGGATCATAACCTGAGCTGAAGGCAGACGCTTAACGACTGAGCCATCCAGGCGCCCCTATGCTATTTTTCTATTAAAGAAAATAATATTTATACCATGTTCTAAGAACTGTGCTATGTATTTTACCTTCCAAGTAAGTAAATATTTCCCTTTAAATTAGGTAAATATTTTCTGTATCTGAGGAAGAGAGTGGAGTTTAGAGAGGTTAAAAACCCACCCAATGTCAAAAAGATATATATGGTGGCCCTAAACTCAGCCATCCTCCAAACTGAAGTCTTCTATTTCTGTAATCCCATAACTGTCCCTTAAATCTAAATCATCTGTGGCTAATTTATCAGGTAATTCAAGACTGAACAGGCCTTTGATGAAACCAAATCTCCTGACATAAATGAGGTAGAATAGCTAATGATTTAAGTGCCAGAAGGATTGTTAGGAACTTGAACTTCTGTTACCTTGCCATTTTTTTTTTCTTCTCGCTAATCATTAGAAGATAGAATATTAAAAGTAGGAAGATTAAGAAAAAAACCCTTAAAAAACATATAAGACAGCCTCTACTATTAGAGATTCATAAAATAGAAATCTATGAGATAACATGGAATAAGAATTATGAAGTAAAAAGATGCTTCCCTGAAATTGGTAGAATTACAAAATCTTAATTACAAATAATTACAAAACCTTAAGGTCGAGAAGGATGTCAAAGACAACCTAGACCAGTGTTTCCCAGATTATGTTATGGAAATCAATTATTCTAGGAGGCGATAAAATAAAAAAACATGAAAAGGAGCCTCATAGGGAAACACAAATTTGGAAAGTATTGCATTCTACATCACCCTCTTGAAGATTAACAGTATAAATTCACACATTAATGTTCCTTGAAAGGTCCTCCAGTTAAGTTTAAGTTAAACCCACCATTTCTCAAACTTCTTTAGCAATGGAACTCTTTTCTGAAACAACGATTAATATTCTGTGAGATAAACTCATTTTAATAGATGGGCTAAGCTCTGGGGATGTTCTAAAGTTATTCATCATTTAGAACTACTTAACTGCTGGATATATATAATAAGTGTTACAATAATTAAAACAATAGCAGCCTTTAGAAAAGGTGAGAAACAACAAGCTGATTATTAACAAAGAAAAATGCCAATAATTTAGAAGATTATTCAGTTAGTATTCAGTCAATATTCAGTTTGATAACTGGATACTGAAGTCCTGATAGGTCTGCCACTCCCATCCCCCCAACCAGAGACTCAAAACAAATTAAACTGTATACCTTATATTGCTCTTTCCAACGACTTCTAGAAGCTAAACTCTCTAGACGAGGCTGAACAAAGCGGTTATCCAAATAATGGAGAGATGTCAACATATCTTGTGCATATGATTTTTGTCTGGTGCCATCTGTTCAGGGGAACAACAGCAAATAATCACTTAGCCCTTAGGAAATTATCTATCTATCTATCTAAGCCCCCACACCAATGAATTATCCACCCTCAAATACCAATAGTGCCAAGGTTGAGAAACATTATTAGGCAATATTTAAATAGTTGAATACTTAAGGATTTCTTCCCATAGTTTTAGAAAGATACTTGATTAATTGGTTAGAAGCATTTGAAATTTTTAAAAAATTAGTTAAGTAAAGAAAAAAAGATTCCATCAGAGCATTAGGGAAAGGAACAAACCACAGAGGCCTTCTATTTGTTCCCTGAATACATCAAACTTATTCTTTTCTGTTCTTTTAATCCCAGTAAAATTAACATGTAGTGTTATATTAGTTTCAGGTGTATAATATAGTAATTCAACAGTTCTATGCATTGCTCAGGGCACATCGCAGTAAGTGTACTTTTAATCCCCTTCACCTTTTCACTCATCCCCCCCCCCACCAACTTCCTCTCTGGTAACCACCCGTTTGTTCTCTATAGTTAAGAGTCTATTTGTTTTTTTTTTCCTTTGTTCATTTGTTTTTTTTTTTTTTTTTAAACATTTTATTTATTTATTTGAGAGAGAGAGAATGAGAGATAGAGAGCACGAGAGGGAAGAGGGTCAGAGGGAGAAGCAGACTCCCTGCTGAGCAGGGAGCCCGATGTGGGACTCGATCCCTGGACTCCAGGATCATGACCTGAGCCGAAGGCAGTCGCTTAACCAACTGAGCCACCCAGGCGCCCTCATTTGTTTTGTTTCTTAAATTCCACATGTAAGATCATACAGTATTTGTCTTTCTCACTTTACTTAGCATTATACCCTCTTGATCCATCCATGTGTTGCAAATGGCAAGATTTCATTCTTTTTTTATGGCTGGGTAATATTCCGTTGGATATATATACCACTTCTTCTTTATCCATTCATCTATCACATCAAATGTACTTTTACCTAATAGTCTTTTGCACTTACTGTGTTCTCAGATAGATCAATGCGTTATTTTCCCCCCAACTTCGTCCATTTAAGATTTTTTATTTATTTATTTGAGAGAGAGAGAATGAGAGATAGAGAGCACGAGAGGGAAGAGGGTCAGAGGGAGAAGCAGACTCCCTGCTGAGCAGGGAGCCCGATGTGGGACTCGATCCCTGGACTCCAGGATCATGACCTGAGCCGAAGGCAGTCGCTTAACCAACTGAGCCACCCAGGCGCCCCCAACTTCGTCCATTTAAAAGTCACCTCTTGAGAGACGGTCTTTGACCAATCTAACAGATACTTTCTTTTCCTTTATCGCTCTTGGCTCTCCTTAACCTATATTATTTTTTTTTTTCAAGAACTAATCACTAGTTGAAATTATATTATGTTATATATTTGTTTCATGGTCTGTCTCTCCCGTTAGACTTTAAGCAACATGAGGGCAGGAATCTTGTATGTCATAGTCATTGCCATATTCCCAGCCCTCAGATAAATGCTGGCCCCTTAGGCACTCAATAAATATTTGTTCAATAAACTGAATGAAATATCACTTAGGCAATTAGGTATTCAATACAACATATTTATAATCTTTATTAACTTCCAGATTCTGTGCTAGATGCAAGGGATAAGTGTATATCTAAAGTATGGTTCTTCTTGTACTCTTAGAAGAGAGGAAGGCAAAAATACATTTTCAATATAGTATGAAAAGTGTATACACATCAGTACCACCAGGGAACTGAGAGCACAAATGAAGGAGTAAAAATATTGAGTGGGTCATAGTAGCTTTGACAGTGAAAACAATTTTATACTCACCTGGAAAATCTAGGGTAGAAAGGGATTATATTTTAAAAGGAAACAGTATGAGCAAAGCCACAAAAGTATAAAACAGCACATAACTTTTGGTGAAATTCAATGAGCTTAGAGAGGCTGGGACAATACATGGCTATTGAACTACTACTCTGCTGTTTTGAGTCTGTCCTACATGCTCACATTCACTGTCAACTCTCTAAGGTCAGGGGAACATGACATATTTCTTTTGCACTTTCCACATATCACAAATAATAAACAGTAACAAGTTCTTAATGTGAATGGGCTTCTGGTATAGTTGATCCTAGAGGGAACAGTTGGAGGGCCTTAAGAATGGATCTCTTGGTTTTGCTTAAGTATATATTGTATTACATAGTATTGTATTATTATATTAGTAGGGTGTTTAAAAATTGGAAAAAGAAAAAAAACTCTAATTTTGTATTAACTTACCATACAATGTTCCCAAAAAAGATTCATCTAAAGCATTGATCAGAAGAGCCTTCACAACTCTTTCAAAATGAGTATAGTGGTCACTAAAAGAATCTGAAATTAATTTTAAATATGTATTAGAATATAGTAGATAAAACAATTCCCTGAATAAAATAGGTTCCTTTCTCTAAGAAATTAATACTGTAAGTAGGAGAAGTCACTTAATTATCCTAATTTTATAGCTGCCTCAGTGACTTGTCACTGAGCAAATCTCCATTTTCCAGATTTGCTGGCTTCTAATCCAAATTTCAAGTTATTTCAAATAACCGTCACTTTCCAAACTTATTAAGGGAAAACTATTCAGAAAATATTAATAATAGAGATACGCTGTGAAAAAAAAAAAAAACCAGATTATCCCCTGTGGACCCAAGTTTAATTATCAACTTAACAATTAGAGAGAGCAAGAGAGAAAACTTTTATAGGTAGATTATTCAACATGTACCTGAAACTCCTGTCTTTCCTTCTCTTCGAAACATGGTACGTATGAAATTACCCAAGAAATTACTACCCTAGCCAAAACCCCAATGGCTATAAAAACTCCATTTCCCTTTTTGCTGCTCCAGATTTAGGATTTTCCGTATCAGTTTAGAAAAGTTCTGTCTTCTCTTTCTCATACTCAACATATAAGCCTACCTTCCCACTAACCCAACATAGTCCATGAAATCATCCGTTGTGATGGGCCCTGCAATGGTAAGAGAGAAGGTCCCTACTATTTCCCATTGCTCTTGGGTCAAGGTTTACTATGGCTGTAGAAATATTCTCTACTAAACACAACCTCTTCCTTGATCCAAATGGTCATCACAGAACATTTGCCCTGGCCTGGGCATCTATAAGAATATTAGGGGCAGCCTGAGCATTTCAGGAAAAGTGGATGATGCTTTGTGAGAAATTTAAGCAAAGTAAGACCTATGTTAGCATTACTGAGTGAATTTTGACCTTGCTTTCATTGAAATAAAACAAAGATGAGATTTAACATGGAGAAATGTTTTTACTTATATTTTAGCTACTGAAAGGGCTGTATAACTCTTTAGATTTCAGGAGAAATATTTAGTAAGCAATCTTTTTTAAGCAAACATTTATTATAGTACTAAAGTGGCCAAAATAAAGCAGTAATAAAATTAAATGACAATAGCAGATAATTTGCACCAGCGCCATTAGACTTTAGAGTAAATTGCAAAAGAACTGATCACAGCCATTTATGAGTATTTTTTTAAAAATCAGTAGAATGTAATTGGAAAATGAAATAATACTTCAGTAGCATTCAGTTTTGACTAGATTTTCATCAACCTCTGGATATAATATAGTATTGGACCATCGTTTAATTTGTGAGTGTTAAGCTGCATTTAAACTCTATCTAGCACTTTCCAAACTGTATTAAGGGAAAAATGTTCTGGGAATATTAACAGACATGTTGAGGGGGAAAAAACCATGAAATTCATTCCCTGTGCTCCTAAGTTTAACTATCAAATAAATTGAAATAGAATTTTTTATCCCACTGATTTTATCAGTCTTTGAATGTGCTGATGCTCAACCTTACCTGCTGTAGAGTTTGGGAACTGTTGTTCTATTTTATTTATTTTTTTAAAGATTTTATTTATTTATTTGACAAGAGAGACACAGCAAGAGAGGGAACACAAGCAGGGGAGTGGGAGAGGGAGAAGCAGGCTTCCCGCTGAGCAGGGAGCCCAATGCGGGGCTCAATCCCAGGACCCTGGGATCATGACCTGAGCGGAAGGCAGACGCTTAACGACTGAGCCACCCCCTGCCCCTGTTGTTCTATTTTAAAGACCTTGACAGTGTTTCTTTAGAATTGGGAGTAAAAGGAAAGGGCAGAGGATCAGAATCATCTGGAGAATTTTTGCCTAACCACAGAATCTCTCTCCTACCAATATCAGAATCTCCTTCAAAAGAGTCAGGAAGGCCTCAGTTTTGCTGTGCTTGAGTGGATAGATGGGTGGTGGAGGAATTAAGCTCCTGGCATCTCAGATTGAAAAAAATATTGTATTGAGCAAGTATATGCCAGGCATTGTTTCATGTACTTACATGCATTGCTTTATTTCTCAATACAAACCTGTGAGGTACTATCATTACCCTCAATTTATTTTTAGTTAAGGAAATAAATACAAAGAGGATGATAAATTTCCCCAAGATCACACAACTAGTAAGCGTTGAAACCGGTGCTGGAACCCAAACAGTGTGACTCTAGATTTCACGCTACTATCCCCTAAGGAGATGTTGTTCTGCATGCTAGTTAGGTTTGATAATATAGTTCAGAGCATGGAATTTTAGACTTGGATGGGAAATTGAAGAAAATAATTCAAATCTCTCATTTCATTTTATTTTGTATTTTATTTTTTTAGAGAGGGGTGGTGGGAGGGAAAGCAAGAATCTTAAGCAGGCTCCACGCCTAGCAGGGAGCCCGATGTGGGGCTTGATCTCACAACCCTGAGATCATGACCTGAAACAAAATCAAGAGTCGGATGCTTAACCGACCAAGCCACTCAGGTGCCCCTCAAATCTCTCATTTTAAAATTTTTAAAAATGACCCAATGATGAAAGAACTTACCCAAGGTCACACAACTAGATAGAGGAAGAATCAGGATTAGAGCTCAGACCTCCTCCACAGCTTTTTTTCCAGTGCTCGAATCCCTATACTGGATGAGCTTCTGTGGAACATCCTAGGAGTATCATTTAAAATTTTCTTCTATGATTATAAAAAAAAATTGCAAAAGAATACAGGAGAAAATCAACAATTTTTGTGTTTATGCATAACTTGATTTTTTCAAGGTAGTCAATTTCCCCATACCCTATCATAGGGTAGTTTAGTCATTCTGTTGATTTTCCATGCATTTTTTATCATATATTAATTTCACATATATGCTAAGATTTTGTTTCAGCACCCTGTACCTTTCTTAATGATCTGGCCATCATCTTCATGCCAGTACTACACTGCTTTACTTACTGAAATGTTATGATAATTTTTTATATCTGGTGGGGCAAGTCCTTCTGATTTACTGTTTGTTGTCTAATTTTATTTATTCTCATATATTTTTCCCAAGTGAACTTTAGTATTGTTTTTGCAAAGTTGAGTCAAAAAGTTAATTTCACGGGCTCCGGGGTGACTCAGTTGGTTAAGTGTTAGACTCTTGATTTCGGCTCAGGTCATGATCTCAGGGCTGTGAGACTGAGCCAAACAACGGGCTCTGAGCTGGGCATGGAGCCTGCTTAAGATTCTCTCTCTCTCCCTTTGCCCCTCCATCCCAAAAATGTTAATTTCAGAAGAAATAATTTCTTGTCCTATTTATTGCTTTCCAGAAACATGCTGTGTCTCTTTTATTCATGTTTTCTTTGCTATTTCACAGTAAAGTTTATTCTTGTACCTATAAAGTCATGCTTTTCTTCCTAAGATTAGACCTAGGAACTTTGTTTGCTACTATAAATGGAATTGTCCTTCATTATATCTTCTAAATAATTATTGATAGCATACAAGAAAACTGTTGAATTTTATATATTCATTGTGATTCTGGTCATCTTTCTGAGATCTTTTGCAAATCCCCAATAGTCAGATCTCTTACATATTTGCAGAAAATGAACTTCCTAGCACATCGCAGAGCTGGATAGAGGGAGATACTGTTCAGGAATTCCTGTGCAGTGACTCTGCTTTCTCCCCCAACCCTGAGAAGGATGTGGTCTTGCTAGTGCTAAGTTTATTTCAAGAACCAAGAGAATGTTTATACATATTCTCTTAGATAGAAGCACACAAGAGTGTTGGTGTACTTTCTTTTGAAATGGAAGTATGAGCCTAGTGTAAGAAAGCAGAGACAGAGCAAGAAATTGGGTTCTTTTTCTACTCTTAACAGGTACCCCCCCCAATAGGAAAAAAAAGGAACATAAGAAAACTATGGAAATATATGCTGCATTTACTCCTGCTCTCAAGCTATTCATATGCTTTCTCTTTGTATCCCTGGTTAAATGAATCAGAAACTTACAGCTTGTGTGTGTGTGTGTGTGTGTGTGTGTAATGTTCAAATAATGTCTTTTCCTTTTCAATAGTTGTATTTCTTGTTTTACTTCTTTATTGTTTAAAACATCTAGAACAGAGTAGAAAATTTTTGTCTTGTTCTTTTTAAAAAAGATTTTATTTATTTTATATAGAGAAAAAGAGTGATGGAGAGTGTGTGCATGAGTCGGGGAAGGGGCAGAGGGAGAGCATCTTCAAGCCGACTCCTTGTTGAGCGTGGAGCCCAACACAGGGCTCCACACGGGGCTTGATCCCACGACCCATGAGAACATGACCTGAGCCGAAATCAAGAGTCAGCTGCCTAACTGACTGAGCCAGCCAGCCAGGCACCCCTGTATTAAACCATTTTATAATTCTAAAAAGGATGGCTAGATAACTTTTTCTTCATTCTTGTAATTAGAAAAATATTTCCTTCGTAGGTCTATTTGCAAATCTATTTTCATCAACTTATTAGGTTGTGAGCCTCCTTAATTTGCATAAATGCACGTGTTCAGCAACTCAACAATATTTTCTTCTATCACACCTCTGAATTCACATCTCCATGTTTTTCCAGCCAAAAACATGCTGTCTCTTAGCACATTCAAATCTTTTACATTTCCCACTAACGCTATAGAATTTTCTTCCTTTAGATTTCCATTTGTTCTATATTTCCCTGCAGAAATTTGTGAAATAGGATCATTTCTACTCCTTTATGTATTATCTTCTCCTTTAGAACTGTTTTCATTTTCTCTATGCAAAAGAAGTTTAACCTATATATCACTGATGATTTTCTATACTGTTAATTGTGTTGTTTACATCTTTCAGTATAGATTTTATTTCCGACTTTATATTTTTAATTTTCTAGCAACTAATCCTTATCTCAGGTAGCTCTATTTCCCCTCAAGTTGTTCTTTCCTTACAACTTCCTATTTCCTTTTCACATATTGTAAAGCAAATGCTTTATACAATTTTCTTGCTTCCTTTAATGAAACACTTTTCACGGGCATTTTCTTTTTTTTTTTTAAGATTTTATTTATTTATTTGACAGAGAGAG